TTTGTTGCCTCAATCAAAATCCACTTGTAACCCAGAATGTATCGGTCGTGATGTCACTACATGCATTACGTCGCCTTAGGGCGGCGTTCCTCGGTAATGAGGCACTCTATGAATAAGGTATTTCTAGGGGTCAGGGTTCGTTCTTCCTCGACCGTCACGTCTGCAGTTGAATAATTTTTGCCTCGATTTATTTACAGTTTTCTTTCCAATGCGACCTAATTTCAATGTTTTTTTAATTCTTGGTAATTAGTGTCACTAGCGATAGAGTAGTAAAAACCGCAATGAACCGCAGTGCAGCAACTCTGGATAGACTATCCCGACGCAATTGGCAAATTATTACTACCCTAGTATTTTGGATTTGCCAGCTCCGCACCTTTGAAACACTTGGCAACTTTTTGTAGACTTTCGTTTTTATCACTGTTTTTATAAGGCTAACCATGTACAAAGGCGGATTACCTTTCGACCAATACATGTTATTGTTTTAAAATGTACAAGACAAGGATTTTAAGGATCGCGGGCCAAACGAAAGTGACGTGGCTGTTTGTCTAAGCAACACGGGTCTGCGGTGTTTGAAAGGCCTGGGGAGAACACTGCCAGTCTGTATTACAACATGATGATTTTAATTTTGTTATTGTTAACTGACTGAGAAGACTGTTCACGTTCGTGTGGCCGAGCCGTGGATAAATGTTGATATTTACCACGCCCGCACTGAACGCCGTAAAGCTGAACGGACGTGGCGGCGAACTGGTTTAACTGTCCATCGCCAAATCTACAAATCTAAACGAAATAAAGTTAATGATCTTATTGATGTATCACGTAGGAGTTATTTCGCTGATAAGATCGCGGATTGTAATGGTGACCAAAGAAAACTGTTTTCCATCGTAAATGGTCTTCTAGGCTCGACAAATAATTTGAATGCGTTGCCGATTCACGATAACAAAATAAATTTAGCGAATCGTTTTAGCATGTTTTTCGTGGATAAGATTAAGAAAAATCAATCAAGGACTAAATCTAAATTTATTGAATGGAAACCGTTTAACGAACTGCACAAGTTCTCTGGTGATGATTGAAATGTTTGACCAGCCACGGAGGATGAAATATTAAATTATAAAAAAAATCGTC